TCGTCCCCTTTCCAACATAAAACAAGCCCCCATGTAAGTATAATTAATCCCTTTGTGTCCAACCTTTGTCTTTGGGCTGTATGGAGTAACTGTTTGTCATGGAGGTTTCTCAGCACTGTTCGTGATCCATTGAATAATTGGTTTCCAGTTTTATTTTTTGCCTAAGCATCTTTCAGTCGATTGTTGGACCACATTACTTCTTCATCTTCACTTTTGGATCACATCTTGGATTATACTCCATTGCACTTCAGGTTTGTGGTCTCTACTATGTTGTGCATCCCTCTTTTCACTGTATTTATCCTCTTCATTAGCACATAGTCTTTGGGATAATGAATCAGCATTTCCATGGTTCTGTCCAGGGCAGTGGTGATATTAAATCATACTCTCGAAGTTTTGGAGGCCTGCAGCTGTCTGACCTTCTAGATTACACAAATTTACCAGATAAGCCACTTCAATGCTGCATGATTAGTCTGAAATGTAAGCTTTTGTTCATATAAATTTACAGTAAAGGTTCATTACTTTTCGAAATTAAGGAACTACGTGTTCTTTCCTACGTTGTACTTGGAATACAACACTCTTACTGCAAAATCACTATCATCTGTAACTAAGATGAATGAATCTTTATGATAATACAGGAGTAGTGGTCAATTGTTTCTCTAGCTTTTTAACTGCTTATTCACAATCACGTGAGCCAAAAAAAGCTTACTAAATTTTCAAGAAAATTGTGTCGAGGACGAGTTTTGTCAGAGAATGATTTTACAAAACGGTGATAGTAATAGTACAGTCCAAGAAATCCTTTAATCTCATGCATGTTAATTGATGTTGCTGAATTCAGAACAGTCAGTCTTTGATGGGTCTCTAGACACTCACTCTCTGCTGACAATGTGTTCTGAGAAATTCACCCCTTGACAAAACAATTCACACTTCTTGGAATTCAGCTTAAGACTCTGATTTCTCAACAAATCCAGAACTTTCCTTAACCCATCATTAGCATTATCAAAGGTCTTTTCCTGTACATTTATATATTCCAAATAGATGAGTACGGTGACTTAGGGTAGTACCTAAGAGCACACTCCATTAGTCACTGAAATGTAGCAGGTGCTTTACATAATCCCCATAGTATCATGATATTTCGCTGCAATCCATTTCCTACGGTGAAGGCTGTCTTCCCTCCATTTGCTTTTTCTAGTCTTGCACTTACTTATATCCACTTTTAAGATCTGAGGCTGAAAACCATTTGATCCAAGTAGAACATCCAAAGTACAGACAGTCTTTGGCAGTGGGTAGGCATCCTTTTTTGTGAATTCATGTACCTTCCAATAGTCCATGCAGAACCTTATAAATCATTATTCTTCTTCACAAGTACGACAGATGATGCCCTTGGACTACTACTTAGTTCTGCCACTCCTTCTTCCTTCATAGCATCTATCTCTTTGCAAGAATCAAAGTGTCTTGCATGTAGGAGTCTTCTAGCATCTCCAGTATCAATATTGTGGTATAATTTATTTCTTTATCCTACATCATAAGATCTACTGTAGCAAATGTCTTGATATTCTGTGAGCAAACCATGTAATTTCTGTCCTTTTTTGATGATTTGACAATATACTTCCTACATCTTCCCTCAAAGATGACGATATCTAAAGTTCTCTAATGTAGAAGTACTACCTATATAGCTTTACATCTTGTAATTTCCCATAGAGACTTCACTCGAATTTTATAGTATGTTGTGTTCAAGGTTCTTATGATCCACGAAATTCTTCCAAACATTAATCCATCAAGACACACTGAAGTGGATAGTTCTATTACAGCCCAGTAACCAGTTGTAAATGTGTTTTAACAAGTCCTGGAATGAATATTTCACTTCTTGTCACTGGAAATTCAACTTCTTGTGTAGTAATTGTCATGTAGTGCACAAAGCTTTCCTGGTTATAGACTGTGAAACTCTTTGAAGCTAGCCTAACCTCACATCCATATCTCTGCTTGCATTCAGCTACCAATTTGTACTCTTCTTTGGTGTCAATCACCCACACACCATGACAAGTGAAGAAGATTCATACAGTTAGAGTAACTTCCAAATTCCCTTATTTTAGAACTTTTTCTAGAATTGTTGTTTGTACCACTCTATCTTCTTTCATCACTGCTGAAGGCAATTCCCATCTTTCATTACCAAATTGGGTCACTCAACTGTAGGTGTAGAACCAATGCCAACCAACATATTATAAGGCCTCCCATGGACTGGTCTCTTTTATTAATAAACTTCTTATCATATTTGGAGCAGATGGGGTATTCTTAGATTAATTTTGCTCCATTAATCCAGCTACTTTCTTTTTTCCCAATTCCTGGTTATCTGTTGGTTGTTCCTTTGAACTGGTTGGGCTCAAAGACTCATCCTTAGGATACTGTCTCCTTGTTGTCTTAACAACTGTTGATTGCTAATCTGGCTGTGATGGCTAGATTTCCAACATATATAACAAATTCCCCTTTCTGGAGGAGTTATTATTTCCTACAAGCTTTTGTTTGCAGTTCTGAGCAAGTTACCTTCCAAACATATTATATTTTAGTTTATTTCTTCCATTGTTTGTCACTAGTTGTGTAAATTATCATTTTAGTTCTTCTAAACTGTCATCAATTGATTTTCATGTTTTAACACTACTCGATCTGATGATCCCATAACTTTGAGATGATATCTTTAATTGTTTATCTGCAACTTTAATGAATTCTAGTTCCATCATCAACTGCAGAATTTTCGTTAATAATGCACACCTACTTTGCTTCAGCCTAATTCTCATATCCTTGTCTGTTATGGCATCAATAAATTGATCACATGCTAACAAAACCATTATTTAACGAATAATACCAGGTATGATAATTTGAAAAGCCTATTCAAATCTTCTTTAAGTTTGGCTAAGGTCTTTTTTTCACTGTTATCCTGTTTCAGAACTACACCATGGATACTTCTTTCTGGTAAGACACTCTAAACCTGTTAGATAAGGCAGCTACAAATACTTGATAGTTTTTATGGCTCTTAACTGAAAGATGACTTAATATTGTCGAAGCTAATCCTTTGAAATATGTAGCAAGATATATGATATATTCGCTACTCCACATGTTTGTTATGGAAATTATTTGGAATTGAGGCTGGTATGACTCCCTTGGTACATTGTCATCATATTTCATAAGTTTCTCTATAAACTGATATTGAACTGTTCACCTACCACCTGAAACAGAATTCTGACTGGAGCTGGCACAGCAGTAATGGTAAAAGGTGTTCTCCAAATACGTTTTCCTATTCCATATCTAGCAATACATGATGTTTTTGGTCGGATATGGTTTGTTTGTTTAGTGTTAAGCCCAAAGCTACACAATGAGCTATCTGGGCTGTGCCATCCACAGGTACGAAACCCAGTTTTTATGTATAAGTCTTTACTTACTGCTGAGCCACTTGGGGTCTGTTTTTTTTTTTTTTTGGTTTGGATCTCTTGAGTAACTGCAGAAAGAGGGGTTGCTGGTTTAATTTTCGCCTTTAATAATTCGTTTTCCAGATGTCTTATTGTGTCCTTTTCTACCTCGGTGGTGCTATTTTCCACTTCATTCATGTCTTTCTTTACTTGAATCTTGTCTTTTTGTACTTCACTTTTGACTTCATCAATACCTTTTTTGTACTTCTTCAATCTTTTCATTATGGCTTTTCCATACTTCTTCAATCTTATTACTGTAGTCTCTTTGTGCATGACAAATAACTTCACTGTTCTTGTTTTCAATCAGTTTTATTTTTAATTTTAATTATTTTTTGAATAGTATGTCTATTTCTTTTTACTACTTTCTTAAATACCTGCCATGCTCTTCCTGTACTTCTTTCACTTTTCTGTCCTGTAGTTCCAGATCTCGTTTTATTTATATACCTGTTTTTTCTTGGTACTATTTTAATGCTAACCAGTGGCTCAATAGCAAGTCTCTGGACTTACGACGATAAAAGTCGGGTTTTGTTATATGTGGCAAGCACACCACAAAGAACACATTGTGTAGCTTTGTGTTTAACAACAAACAAACTTTCTTCTCCTGAAATTGATTATAATTGATTATAGCACTAAAAATTGAGTTTCGATACCCATTGTAGGGAGAGCACAGACACCTATTGAGTAGCATTGTGCTTAACAAACAAAGTCTTTAAATTTTCTGCAAATTTCTTCTAAAGCTTATTTTAGTTTTCCAGTTATTTCTTCTAATTTGCTGTCTCTTTCTTCTTGATCTTGTCTAAATAATTTCATCACCTCAAGTAACACTTTGCTGTCACTCTGACCTCATTGTCATCATCTTCAACAGTTGAAATTTAGTCAAAGTTTTATTTAAATTCACCAAAAATAATATCCTACTTCTGACACCTTTGTTGTAACTTTTATCTTTCGTTTCCGGTTCTCTAAAATTATCTGGTCAAAATTATTCAATGTTTAGTCCACGTGGCAAGAACAAATTACTTTATTTCCTCTTTTTAACGTTTCTTCGAGGCTTAGTACATGCACGCTGTCATAAATTATTGTAGGCCTACATTACAAATGACGTTCGAACCTCTAACAAAACTAAGACTAACATAAAACCAACTTAATTGTACAAAGTAATTCAATAAGCACAATAGAAAACACAGACCAATATACTTCACGAAAACATAGCTGGCAACATTATCAACGTATGTTGAATGGCCTGGTTTGTGGCTTAGTATAACTTATATATTATTTACCTAGTTCGATTACCTAATTTGTGCCTTAGTGTAACTGAGTATATTATTTATGTAGTTTGGTGGCCTAGATTGTAGCTTAGTGTAATTCAATATAGTTTGATGGCTTATAGAGTGTCTTAATGTAATTAAGATGTTTTTTAATTTGTTTTGTGATGTTATAACCCTTGCACTGTGCATTTTCTTTAAAACCGAGGAAAGTATACACGATTTCATTATTCCAATTTATTGCTTATCGCCAGCCAAATTATTAATGTTTTAATTTCAGCTTGAAATGCACTGTCCAGCTTCAAGGATGTCAACGTTCCTTTTTTGCCTGCTTTTATTGAAATATTTGGTTGGACCCAGTAGCGACAGACATAAGGTAGGCCGGTGAATAAAAGTGTAGAGGCCATTCAGAACACATAATATTGTAAGCTATACTGTTCATGTTGTAATTTGTTTGTTAGCTAGAGTGTATGACGTTAAGATAGACCTAGTTGCTGTGGATAAAATAATTTAAAATAACATTCGTTCTGCATTTGGCTTTGATCTACCTAACATGAGGGATCGAAATATAAAGATAAGATTGTAAAATGTAAACGCTTCCCAAATGTCTTTATTCAAAAGAGACGTTATGAAAGAAAAGCATCACACCAAAATTACATTACATCTGTATAAATATAATAGTACTGTCTGTTGTATGTCCATGTAGCTACTTCGCAGGATGTGGGTGGATCTTCACCAAAATTGGTATTGTTACGTCTCTGGTCGTTTGTTAATTACTCGTAAAAATTCTTTCCGAAGAACTTCAGCGATACAAGT